TTTCGTTTTTCGACTTTGCGTTTCACTGTAGACCATATGTTCTCGATTGGATTTGCATCAGGACTATTAGATGGCCAGTCTAATAACTTCGGTACATGTTCATCGATAAATTGCTTACAAATATTACTCCGGTGTTTCGGATTCTACATTCGTTGATTCTTCATTCATTGATTCTTCACTTGTTGGTTGTTCAATTGTTGATTCTTCGCTTAGTGACGTTTGACTTTCGGTGTTACTAATTGTTTCATCATCCTCAGTTAATATTTCACTATATTTTGTGGAACTCACATAAATTTTCGAAGAAAATAGTGAGTGTAAGTTTTAATTCGAGGTTTTGAGTCCTCCTCCCCATTAAAGACAGGCCTCCATTACAGACAGGGCCCCATTACAGACAGGCCCCCTTACAGACAGGCCTACATTACAGACCTTAAGAACGTATTATATGAATCAATGATTTTATTTACGGTCCTGTCATTAGTACAATGTGACCAAAAACAAATATATTTAAGGAAGAAAAATTATTACTTATTCTTTTGTATCCTATGATTATTATTCGTCTGGATTATTACTGAAAAATAGCTCAATGTTATCGATGTTTGAAATCAAGAAATTTGTGTTTGTTTGACTAACAGGTTTAGTGCTGAAAGCAGAAATCCGATGAAAATACGTGGATAATTTCGTGCTAATAAGCTTTACTTTTCTCTTTATATGCGGTACAATCCAACACATTCATGAATAAGGCGGTCGATGTTGTATAAAATGACGATATTTTCTGATTATTTTTCCAATACTTTGAGACAATAAAAGCTGCTGTTACGTGGGAACAAGGGCCACCTGCAGTACGTAAACCACTTTTGCAAGTACAATATGAAGCAGTACCGTCAAGTTTATTTTTCCCAAACCGTATCCATATAGTGTTTCTTTAGGTTATCAGTTGTTTTGTACCTTGAAATGATATTTATTATTGTAATGGTTGATGGAAAATCGCGATGAATGAATGCGGCCCATTGTTGTTGAATATGTCCCAAATACGCATGTGCTATTCGTATTGAATAATCACCACAGAATTTCTTAATATCATTGTCATCACACGACGGAATAATCTTATTAAGGTCACTCTCCCCCCTCGAAAAAAGTCAATTTTCGTCAGAAAAATGTAAATTCAGATAAACGCATGGGAAGATAGCCCGTCTTCAGATCTTTCAAAAATGGTATGATTTTTTATCCAACATCTCTTCTTTGTCTAAAAGTTTTGATGATTTCCACCATGTTCTATTCGAAAAACAAGCATTTTTGTAAAAAAACGAAAACTGTTTTTCGCTTTTTCTCGATTTATGGTTTTGTGATTTTGTATCCAAAAAGTCTCTGTCCCAAATGGCTTAATATATTAAATTTTTTTTGTTAGAAAGAGCGTGTCAAGATGCAGGGCATGACGTTGTTCTTTTATTAAATTAAGTTTATTTTTCTTATAAACACAGGCACGTAAGTCTAAAAACCCCCATTTTTAGGGAGTTTTTTAGTCCTTCGACCTTATCCACATAAAAATCAAGAGATTAGAAAAAAAGGAACAACGTCATGCCCTGCATCTTGACATGCTCTCTCTGACAAAATAAAAAATTTTGATATATTAAGTCATTTGGGATAGAACTTTTAGATACAAAATCGGCTATTTTTCACCATTGTTGGGTTAATATCTCTGTCACATAACGTGATATCGGGTTGAAAATTTTACCAAAGCTTCTCCACTATAGCCCCAAATTACCTTAAAAATTTCGGCCCATTTGGATGATCCTAAGTCAGTAATAGATTGGAGGGGGAGGGGTGGCCTTAATATCACTTGTATTAGCTAATTTCATCCGATGTTAGCATATGAGTTCATTTAGGTAAAGCATTTCTATAACCATATTCATGCAGGTGACGACTAATAGTTGATGTCGATATTAATTTGTGGTATAATTTCGATAAAAGCGACTATAACTTTCAGGTCAGTTTTTGACCAGAAAGTGGGATATATGTAGGTTTGTAGAGGAACACTTCCTCTATCCAACATTGTACATATTATCAAATTCTGTTGTGCACCGTAGGAGAAAATCGAATTGAAAAAATAATTATGAAAGACGAAAACAAAATCTAATCCATTGATATTTATATCGCTCAACAGTTCATTTTAACTAGTTTCATAATCAATATTACTTTTTTTGATATTAGATTTATGATATGAGTTATAAAGCTTCGAAAATAAAAATCTAAATATTTTTTATGATGCTAGTTGAAACAGTATTTATAGTTTGATGTTTACCGATCTCGAATATATTTGAAATATACAGAATTGTACAGATTTCTATGCTCTACAAAACGATATATCGAATGCCTCTCTGTCGCTTGATTTATTAAACCTGTCAACACTTCACTGACACGTAGTAATGTAAACTACACATGTTGTTGGGTGCTGTTATGATCCTCACCTTTGGTTCAATCATAGTATAACTATATTCATACTCTCTTTTCCAGGTCTATGTAATCACTCTCTCTCTCTTTTGTATTCATGCATTCGGTCGCCGTTCCCATAGGCCAACTTTTCGGTTTAGACTTTGTGCCTTAATACGAGAACCATACCATTTATAAAGTGCATAAATTTATTAGTTAAGAAAAACGCTTTGCTAATGGAGAAGAATACATGATTTTGAAATTTTCGTTTGTATGAGAAGTCGAGTTAGGTAGCTACTCGGAAGAAAAAGAATTTGAAACGGAATTTTATTTCACATAAAATACTATATCTCAATAACATAAAAATACTCTGCTTAGATACCAGATTTCAAACAAAATTCTGCTTCGAATCTTGAATTGTACACGGCAGCATATGTGTAAAATATAACACACCGTAACAAAAAAATAATATATCTTCTTCATTTTTCAAGCAAATTTTTAATGTTAACAAGTGACTTCAGTACAAAAAAAGTCGTAATGTAACATCAGGCTGGAAAATGAAACGCCATAGGAAGTCTACGTTGATGTCACTTGCACAGTGGCTCTTTTTACTTGAGCAGAACCAGTGCCAGGATAGGGCAGTACGTTTTGAAGCATGATTTTGTATGTGGCTGTTCCTAAGGTAACTTCAGCTGTGTCGAGCTGTTGTCCCGGTCGCAGAACCAGACTAACCAATTGAGAGTTTCCGTACTTTGATAGAAGCACTTTGACTTCAACTTGACCGGCCCAGATGCACGTGACCTTTGCAGGGCAGCGACTATCCTGAATTGAATCGATGGTCACTGTTACGTCAGAGGGAAGTTGACCTGATTCGTGCACAGCCAGTGCGATAGAGTCTGATGATGGAATCGATAAAGCAGCCGCCAGCCCAACGCTCAGAAGTACGCTGGTTACGATAAATTGATGATAATATAGCATGGTGCTCTTCTTTAAGGTGCAGGCTTCAAATATTTTATTTCGAGAAAAGTGTATGTGTGTTTGTCAACTACGTACACAGCACTTTTTATCTAATAACGCAGCTGGAACCATTCAGAAAGTAATCCGTATTGATTGATCGCTCGTTTATCGCCATGATACATCAGGTGCACATTTTCTCAGTGATCGTGTCAAGTTAAGCATTGGCACTAATTATTGGTTCTTGACTACTAATCTACCAAAAGGAAAAAAATTTAGTTACTTCAGTGCAGCAATCATCGAATTTTATCTGATTTACAAAGAAAGACTTAACATAAAGTGTAGTTTTACAATGGTTTCTTTTGAGATACATACGTTCTAATCCGATATATTGTTCGTTAAGGACAGTCGAAGCTTAGTAATGTCAAGAATACTGTCTGATTCTATAAAAAGATATCTATATCTTGTTAATATATTATCGTAAGGTCCATTTTTGTTCGCTTACCGGATAAAAGATTGTACAAAGGAGTGACAACTAAGAAAAGCGGTAACGACATGATGTTTTTCATTAATTTTTGATTGGATCAAATTTAATAACGACTTATTATTGAAGCAACAGTAGCAAAAGGAAAAAAGTTCACACTACCAAAAAAACGAGATGAACGAGAGGTATTTTGGAAAAGAAGAGAGAGAAAAACAGCATTCATATGCCAGTAGTGATAATTTACGATGACTGGAGCTGCTATCGGACCACATTTTTGTCTGGGTTGATCTGGCTGGCAGGCATGATCAAGTCATTTGATGATCATGATTTCTTTTAAGTTCAGAATATTTAATAATTCTGTATTTCATATTGTCACTTAGTTTCAGTCACTTGCTGCTATTATTCTCATAAGATGACAAAGTCAGAAGATTTTTCGTAAATTATCACTACGGGCATATGAATGCTGTTTTTCTCTCTCTTCTTCTATCAATTTATCGTAACCAGCGTACTTCTGTGCGTTGGGCTGGCGGCTGCTTTATCGATTCCATCATCAGACTCTATCGCACTGGCTGTGCACGAATCAGGTCAACTTCCCTCTGACATAATAGTGACCATCGATTCAATTCAGGATAGTCGCTGCCCTCCAAAGGTCACGTGCATCTGGGCCGGTCAAGTTGAAGTCAAAGTGCTTCTATCAAAGTACAGAAACTCTCAATTGGTTAGTCTGGTTCTACGACCGGGACAACAGCTCGACACAGCTGAAGTTACCTTAGGAACAGCCACATACAAAATCACGCTTCAAAACGTACTGCCCTATCCTGGCACTGGTTCTACTCAAGTAAAAAGAGCCACTGTGCAAGTGACATCAACGTAGACTTCTTATGGCGTTTCATTTTCCAGCCTGATGTTACATTACGACTTTTTTTGTACTGAAGTCACTTGTTAACATTAAAAATTTGGTTGAAAAATGAAGAAGATATATTATTTTTTTGTTACAGTGCAGTATTGTATTGATGAAGAAACATCTTTGAGTGTATGCCATTGAAGAGTCCGAAATAGGCTCATTTATAAATCAATATAAATAAATCGATTTATAAATCATAAATTTTTCTCTCACAGATTTAAGGCGGTTATAAACATTTTCTGTATTTATAAATTTTCCAATGATTTATAAGTTTTCCAATGATTTATGAATACAGAGTTTGCTTGTGAATATGCGGATAATATAGTGGCCATGAACTGGTTTGTAAATCTGTTGAATGTCTGGCTTATCC